ATCTTCGTACATTAGGATTTGATTATAGCCGGAGTAGGCGTCCATGAAGCTGAGCAGCTGATTGCCGGAAGTTGAATCCACGAGCTGATCAATTCTCGGCAATGGGAAGTTGTCTTTTGGGCAAGCTTTGTTGAGGTCGGTGTAGTCGACACAAACTCTCCATTTGCCCTTTTCCTGCTTTGCCACCAGTACAACGTTGGCCAGCCATTCTGAGTAGGAGACCTCTTCAATGAAGCCGGCAGCTAAAAGCTTATCGATCTCGGCTTCGATAATCGCAACTCACTCGGGAGCGAAGTTGCGTCTCTTCTGCACCACGGGTTTGCTGACAGGGTTGACATGGAGTCGGTGGCAGATGATGTTCGGGTCGATGCCAGGCATGTCAGATGGCGACCATGCGAACATGTCTTTGTTCTTTTGGAGGAAGGTGGTCAGCTCCACCTTCTCGTCTAGGCTTAGGCGCGAGCCGATCCGCGCTTTTTTGTCTGGCTGGTCAGGATCGAGGGATACTAACTCAACGTCTTCCTCAGGCTTCCAACCTTGTTCAAGGGAGCCTTCCGGGCGGATTCCCTCGTCTCGATCCGTCTTGTCTAGATTCTGGCGCGAGCCGATCTGCGCTTCTTTGTCTGGCGGGCCAGGATTAGGGGGTACTAGTTCAACGTCATCCTCAAGCTTCCAACCATTTTCAGGGGAGTCTTCCGGGCGGATTCCCTCGCCTTGATCTTGGCTCCTTAATTGCTATTTTGAAGTAGCAACTCCCTTCCCATTCGGGCTTGCTTGTCTGCTGGGAGAGTTTCCTGCCACGTCAGTAGCCTGCATTACTGGTGTGAACTGCAGTTGTTTGCTCTTCTTGAGCCCTTGGGCTGTGCATCTCCTTGCCATGGCTTGGTCACTGTTGATCTGCCCGATACCGCCTCCAGGGATGGGGAAGCGGATCTTCTGGTGTAGAGCAGATGTGATGGCTTCGATCTTGTTGATCCATGGTCGGCCCAAAATCCCGTTGTAGGGAGAGACCTCGTCGATGACCATGAAGGTTTGCGAGCAGACCACTGGGGGTGAGCGGACGTCTAGGTCAATTGTCCCAACAGTGATTGACGTGGCCCCATTGAAGCCGGTGAGTGATCTGGCAAGTTTGCTAATCTTGGGCTTCAATCCCATCTGTTGGATAACCGATAGTTGCAGGATATTGGCTGCGCTGCCCTCGTCCACGTGAACTCGCTCGATCACAGCTTGTTCAATTTGGATGCAGATTACTAGGGCGTCATTGTGCGGCAGATCAAGCCCGATCAAGTCCTTCTTCTGAAAGCCGATGATGGGTGTATCTGCAATGACTGGTACGCCCGTTGTGACTTGGGAGACATAAGTCGCCTGCGCGATCTTTCTCTTACGCTCCTTGGTGGTCAGCCCGTACTCCTGGGAGTCAGCTAGAATGGTGTTGATCCGTATGACCTTTTGGAGAGGTTCCTTGGCAGCCGCATCACGATCCTCGATCTGCTGAATGGCCTTCTTTGCAACGAATTCTGTGCAATGGCTGTCTCTGACCAGCTCCTCAAGGTGCCTTTTCCAGGCGTTGCAGTTGTTTGTGTAATGACCGTGCTCCCCGTGGAATGCGCAGTATTTGTTGGTGTCCCTCATAGAGGGATCTCCCCTCATAGGTGGTGGTCTTCTCACCCACGGCTTGTTCTTCACTTGTGCCAGGATCTGGTGGATCGGGATAATGAACTCAGTGAAGGTTCCTGTTTCTGAGCCTCCCTCTTGGGGTCGCGATTTGCGCTTGTCTCGGGCTTAGTGCTCGAACTTGTTGCTTTTTTGGCTTGCCTGCTTTGTCGGGTGATCAGCTTGCTTGCCGGCTTTTTTTGCCGCAATACGATCGTCGTCCCAAAGTGCGTAGCGCTCTGCCATCGCGAAGACCTCTGCCAAGGTTTGGCTTGGAGTTATGGCCAGCTCACGGTATAGCTCATGTTCGGTTGGCAAGCCTTTCTTAAAAGCTGAGGATGCCACTTGGTCATTGCATCCTATGATGTTCGCCTTCTCAGC